AGAAAGAAGAGAGAGAGAGAGAGAGAGAGAGAGAGAGAGAGAGAGAGAGAGAGAGAGAGAGAGAGAGAGAGAGAGAGAGAGAGAGAGAAGAGAGAGAGAGAGAGAGAGAGAGAGAGAGAGAGAGAGAGAGAGAGAGAGAAGAGAGAGAGAGAGAGAGAGAGGGAGGGAGAGAGAGAGAGAGGGAGGGAGAGAGAGAGGAGAGAGAGAGAGAGAGAGAGAGAGAGAGAGAGAGAGAGAGAGAGAGAGAGAGAGAGAGAGAGAGAAGGAGAGAGAGGGAGGAGAGAGAGAGAGAGAGAGAGAGAGAGAGAGAGAGAGAGAGAGAGAGAGAGAGAGAGATGAGATAAATAGAGATAGATTAATAGATATACTGACTGATTGATAAATAGATAAATGTATATATATATATATATATATATATATATATATATATATATATATATATATAATATATATATATATATATATAGTTTGATAAAAAAAAAAATTACAAGAATGGAACAGATCTTGAAATGCATTCACTTCTAAATTTGAAATCGGGTTTCAGTCGGGAAAATTGGATGATGAGACTGGGTTTATGGAACTATCATGTTTTGCAATGCGTTTAATTCTGCATAGATTCCTGGTATCTTGCATTTTAGCTCGACATGCTACTTTCTGGCAAGATGCTCCCAACATTCTTAGGTTCAGTCACGAAGTAGATATTTGCGGCCTGTTTGCTAGAATTGTGCGAGGCCCGACCCAAAGAATATTCATATACTTGACATGCATAAATAAAAATAAATGCACATTTATCAGTCTAGACATGCATATCAACCCGGCAAATAGATAGTTAAATGTATATCTATCAGATATATAGATAGATATGCCTTTATTTCTGCATCTATATGAAAATTCATTGGGTCGGGCCTGGCACAATTTTAACAAACCGGTCGTTAGTGTGGGGAATATTCGGTTTTGAAGGAGTTACAAGGCCAGAGGTGCAGTTTGACCGTGGAACCAGTAAAGCTTTTTTAGCAGAAGCATATCTTCCTTACTGCTTAGATCTAGTTTCGTTTTCGAATTTATGAAAATACAAAAATGTCTAAGGAAAGCATTATGGGCTTTTACATATTGATATCAGCATGCTAGCTTGGGACTTTCGTAAAATCTTTGCTGGCCTGCAGTTCCCTAATAAATGCACCATCTGGGTTCCACATTTCCCTTGTACTGACAGCTGGTATTATGCCCACATCCTTGAGAATGAGAATGATCTTGAGGCTCTCGTGGCTCTAACTCGGTGTAAAAGACATCTCCAGATTTTCTGTGTATATTACGAAATTCTTTTTTTCTTCCCAAGTTCGGGTTTCAGAGGCCATTCATAATCCCATTCTTGCTACTTAGAACCAGAGGCATCTTTTCCAGCGGTTACGGGAAACGCGACACCTCTTGCGCGACAGGAATCGAGCAGACGGTTAACTTTAAATGAGTTGCCAGATGAATTCCTCCTACTTTGGATAATTCATGCAAATTCGTACTTATATTGGAAGTCTATAACCGCGCTACTCACCATAAGATATCAAAAGCGATCTTAGATATCATATTCCAAAATACTATTTACCTATTATTTGTTTGAAAAATAACCAGTACAGTAAAATAGCAAGCTGTCAACGTCACAGAAATGGGCGGAGCTTAGAGGCCTGTCTCGTGATAGGTGTCGCGGAGCGTTTCGCGACACCCTAATTGCCGCCGGAAAAGATGCCTAAAGTTGAAAATATGCTTTGCTTCAGCAAAGACCATCTTCACATTTTTTATCGCTTTGTTTTTGTTTTTCTTGTGTAATGATTGATTTGCGTGTGTTGTACCAGCACGATAGAGTATTTTGCCAAAGAAAACACATGTTTGCAAGCATTCTTGTATTAATAAATATGAGATAACTAAATAAGCGCCGACCAACGATGTAAACAAACGACGGACCTATTTTTTCCTCCGACACTTCTCAAATTTAGTCTCAGAATTGTCTGAGACCTTTCGTGGATATGGACCCAGATGTTTAGCGAGTCTCGCGTCCATTGTCCGAGAACTAGCGAGGGTGAGCTCTGATACTCGTTTCGTAGTTTCCTCAGCCATGTACCAATACTATACGCTAACTAACTCAATTTGACCTCCACACTACCGATCTGGGACGGTCCCCTTAATTATTTGATGCCACTGACAATTTAAAAGATGCTCCTTCATTTACCTCTTGAAAGTAATCAGATTGGAAATGTTTCTAATATTCTGTGGTAGGTTAATCCAGATACTGGGTCCTCGGACCTGTTTCCGTGTATAGCCTCTTGATGTGCAGAGAGAAAAGGCTACATTATTTATTTTTTTTTTTTTTTCTTGAATAGCGGGCAAGTCTGGTGATAATAACATGGCGGGAGGGAAAAAAATCCCCAGCTCAAAAATAAGACAAGTGTACCTCCTACCTTCCAAAGATCAGAAGTAAAGGAATGTATCAGTTCCAGTCCCACCTGGAGGAAGTACAATTATGTCTTACTAGAAGTCTTCGAGTTGAATAAAAACACAAAATTACTTCAACCAGAATTTGTTAAAAAAAATATTTTCGATAGACAATGATGACATGACGCATGGGAGTAAGGTATTTCCACCAAATATATATGTATATGTATATATATACATATATATGCAGAAATATAACATTAAAAATATACACTACTACCATATATAACAATATAGAGTTTAAGGTTTCTATGCTTTCGTATTAATAGGGCTACGGCTAAGAAGAGCAAGGCTCAGGCTTATCTTTCGTATGTGTACATTTTTATGCGATATGTCATGTAAGGCTTGTTACTGTTTTTCTTATATGCTTTTATCTTGGGCAATAATCAGGCCTCCAAAAGTGTTCCATGACGAATAAATATACGGGGAAGTATCTCATGTTTTATTTACAGAATGTGTTCGAATGGTTAAAAGAATATTATGAAAATTTATATTAGGTTTTACATAATAATTTTACTTTTCATGTATGTATAATTGAATATGCACACGTAAACTTATATAACCTTTTGAATGTAATTGATATCAATCAATAAACAGTGTCATTTTCAAAATATTTAAAGAAGTGTGATCTTCGAAACCATTGTCGATGGACGAATGAAGAAGTATGATGGGAGGCGCTTTGGGCCCGCGCATTTTCAACTGATTTCGATAGTTTTCCGTCGTTTGATTTGTAATTTGAAAATGTTGATAATTAACAACTTGTATTTATTGTTATTTCCTAATGTTACATCAGTAAACCAGTGATTTGTTAATTGATACAATTCAAAAACAAAATCAGATTCGTCAACTCGAGTACAATTCCTTGGAATGGGGGTGGAGCCGCACCTGTGGCAACAGCGTAGAAGCATCGGCAGAGTTGCTGTCGCGATCGGCCCGGAGAAAATGTCGCAAATAAAAAAAAACGACACTAGTGTAGTTAGACTGTTTCTTGGCACCGGAAAAAAACGATACCATACACAATGAATCATAGACAGATTGATTTCTATTTTTTTTTTCTCTCTCTCAATTTCTTTCGCGGACGTCACAGTATCGGCGGGCTATTAGAATAAAAAAGATTCGAGATTTTCACTTTTTTCATTTTTCTGGAAATAAATGTTGGCGGGCCTGCTATTCAAGAAAAAAATGTTGTGGCCTGATGTCTGGTTTGAATACCTGTTTTGTTATCAATTATTTGTAGGTTATAAACCAATGGGGATAACCTATATGAATTTATGAATGGATGTGCCTATGCCATATTGACATTTTAGTTGAACGTTTAACCAGTTTCGTATAGGGGTTATGTAGTCATTCTTTTCCAAGAGGGAGAGGGAGGAAGAGGGGAGTTGTGCAGTCATATTTACGGAAATGAAAATGGAGAGAGAGAGAGATAGTAAGAGCGAGCCAGAAAGAGTGAGGGAGACAGCCAGAGGGGGGGGGGGAGAAAGAGAGAGAGAAAAGTCGTTATAATCGTTCTGGATGCAATTCCCACAGCGCCGTGTCTAAACAGGTGTAGGATAGTTTTCACCTTTTTTCACCTTTTGCGCCTGGCAGCGGCATACCCGCCAGGAACATTATATATATATATATATATATATATATATATATATATATATATATATATATATATATATATATATATATATATATATATATATATATATATATATATATATATATATATATGTATATATATACACTCACTGTGTACTACATATACATACAGGCCTTGATATTCGCATGTGTACGTATAAATATACATCTCATACAATTATATACATATACATTTATTTACACATGCATATAGATAAATGTAATTCCCACAGCGCCGTGTCAAGACTGAGGTGTAGGATAGTTTTCACCTTTTTTTCACCTTTTGCGCCTGTCAGCGGCATACCCGCTGGCCAATCAGCAATCTGTGACGTCACTCTTCCAAACCAGGAACAGCATATATATATATATATATATATATATATATATATATATATATATATATATATATATATATGTATGTATATATATACTTACATACATACATACCTATATATACATACATATGAATGTATACACTTACTATGTACTACATATACATACAGGTCTTGATATTCGCATACATGTACGTAAAAATATACATCTCATACATTTATATACATATACATTTGTTTACACATATGCGTATATACATACATACAATATACAGAAGCATATTCTTATGCATAATACATGCACGTTGACATAAGAATGTTAGTACACATGAATTAATGAAATTCATTCATTTGTGAATGTTTTTTAAATAGCGATACGTTAAAGGATGCTAAATGCAAATTAATGTAAACGGTTTTTACTAAAGCGTATCTGAGGATTATTTTTACACATATATTTAATCCATAGAAATTTAATATGAACGGATTCTCTTTCTTATATATTACTGTTAAATGAATAAGAAAAGAGTAAAAAAACATGAAGTGGTATCTGACACTGTTACCAAACACTCCACAGAGTCCACAGGAGAACGCCTACGCCTAAGTGATACAACCTTATTTTAGTTCATTTAAGGTCGAAATTGCTTCTGAAAACTTTACCCAACTACAAATACAATCTCGAAGATGTCTCTCGCCACACACAAGATAAACGAGAGGCTACAAAGAGACAGAGGGGAGGAGAGAGAGTGCCGCCTCGTCTGGACTATAAACATGGAGGAGATGTTGATCTATTTTGTACGTGGGAACCGCATGCTTTGGGATCCCACGCACCCTTCCTTTGCTAAATTGGCGATGAAGAAGAGGAGGGTGGAGGATATTGCAGCTCTCCTAAAGCGGGAAGTTGGCCCAGAGGAAGCCTTTGCTGTGACTGCTGGTGGGTTGTCAGTTTTTATTTATTTATCTGTTAGTACATTTTAGAATTAATGTGGTAAATTCGGTTAATTTTTCGATTATGACAATCAGGACTTCCCAGACAATATTTATATCATCAGATTTATTCTCATGTGATGAGAATGAATCGGATGATCATTTCCGTTGCAATCACAGCCGACGATCTTGATGTGTTAAGTCCCGTTAGCAGGGAAGGGCATGAATTATATCAGGGAACTTATGGGGTAAAACAGGCTTAAATAAGAGTAATAGGGAACAGAAACGTGTAAAACTAGTACAAAAAATGCTAAACATCGGCAAATGAAATTCTACGGACATGTCCGCTACCTTTGAAAGTCTGCGCACCGACGCGCCAGAGTTTGAAAAACTACGGGAATACAACCCATATTTCGGCAAAATCTACGGGATTTCACACCTTTCAGACCCAAAAAAACGTCCTAACCTATAACCCAACCTAACCTAACAATTTACGGTGCCGTGACTAGGCATGCCCTTCGGGCACTGCCCAAGGGGAGGGTTGATGGGGGCAAGCCCCGCAACACCCGGGACACATTCTCTTCACCTCGGTATTTACGGCAAGATAGAGCTCCATCCATACTGTAAACAATAAACCAAATACCTATTTATATCGAAAGACCGAACTGTCAATTTTCCTTCACTTCTTTCGGTCGGTCTATTGTGGATCGTGGATCGCTACGTTTTTATTGCTTTTTTCGGGATTTGCAGTACTTGATGGCCTCAGAAATCATACTGCGATAGTTATTAAGGTCTTTTTCTTCTTCGTTTCCACTATATAGTCTTAAGAACATCCTAGAATCGACGTAAGCCCAAAACCGAAACATTTCTCGCCAGTCTCCTGTCACCGGACTGCCCTGGGAATCGTCCTGTCAAACCTGGCGGCAGAACGCGAAAATGCGCCTGCGCAGAAGGTGCTTCAGACTGATTTCCTTAAATCACTGTCTAATAAATCTTGAAACATGAAAATGAGGTATAACAACGTTAACAAAGGCCTTTGAAAGCATATATGTGGAACAGCAGACACTGATAATTAGCCAAATATCGTTTTGACAACGGCATAGTAATTACATGGACTACTTAACAGAGAGCAAGAATGAATTGACTGATCACAATTTTGTTTACATTCACAATGTCAACATGACGATGGACTTCGAAAAAGATGGGTCGGTCTTTTGTCTTCTCAATCGTGTAACTCCTTTATTTTCGATTTGCGCACCTTTTGCCATAGATGAAAAGTGTCTCAGTTTATGTCAAGGTAAGCATTCCATATCTTTTTTTTACTGTAACCCTGATTGTTATCCGCAGTAATTTTACCGTAAATTCATGCTAGGATTTTTTCTAGATATAGATGAGGTAATATTCTATATCACATCCGCAGAACTGATATCAACGATTTTGGTGTCGTTGGATTCCTCTCACTCTATAAAATGCAAATATGTAGGTTTTATTGCTCGGAAACACCCTGTTAGCGGCAAACTTGGCCCCGATAGCGGGGGCAACGATGTCGGAGCGGCGGACTGAATATTAAATTACCCTAATAATACAACCCCACAGTGAAAATAATCATGGTTATTCACATGACTTTCCATTGCAGGGGGCTGTGCCCCCTGCGACCCCCCCTGGAGAGGGCTGCCGCCCCCCAACCCCCACCGATGAATCAAAACCTCCACCACGTATGCACAGCAGGATAGAGCGGAGCCGATAACTTACAATAACCTAGGATTTTTAAGGTACTAACCTAATTGATAGGTGCCGCTAATAGTGGGGAGGATGCCGCAGGTGAAGGAAGCAGGGTGCGTCTGGCAGGAGGTCCAAGGCCAGAGGATACAACGACGCTGCAGCACAAAGGAAGTGGTGCAACCTCACATTCAGGTCCTGGAAGTACACGAGGAACATGCACCGAGCCAGGTACCCTGTGAAGTGCTGCTTCCTGCGACCACAGACATCTCTAACATTTCTTCGTGGCTGGTCGATATTTCACACAGGAAATCAGTTTCCGAGTACGAGCACCCTCCACACTCGGCCATCGCGGCGGCAATGACTGACTACTGAACGCGACAGTTATTTCGGTTAGGAATACAGGTGTTGTTACCCCCCCCCCCCCAACGATACCAAAATCATCGATATCGGTTTTGCGGACGTAATATAGAAAATTACCATAGATGATTTTGAACGCTAATGTCAGCAGCCGTTACGGATCCAAATGTGCACGGGGAGGTGAGCACTCCCAGTCCCCTTGATTAAGTTATTGTCAGGATAATACAAACACTGTTCACTGCACCGAGGGGTTTATTAATCCATAACAAATAAAGGCACATCAAACATGGGGCAAAGATCACAGTCTCAGGCAGGAAAACAAGAGGTGGTGTCGTGACCACAGCTTCCCGAGGCGAGAGTCCCAGGCGATCTAACTGTGCGGGATGAAACACTGCTCTCCACATCAAAACTCCCGTGAAATATATAAACATTAATACTTAATGTAGTCTTTTCATATAATTTTCCACAGTATATATCCAAGTCTTCATATATTATTTCATGTTATTTATTTGTAATTAATATTTCATTTTAAAAACATTTATTTATGATCCATGTACAGAAAACGTTTGGAAGAAGTTCAGGAGCATGCGACTATTCTTCCTGCGAGAAGTGAAGAAGGTTCATGACTCGAGGAGCAACATTGGTGATGATGGTTACACCTCCACATGGGCGCACTACAACAGAATGCGCTTCTTGCTTCAGTCTCTGAGACCAAAGGAAAACCAAGACAGTGATCACCCACGTCATATCTCAGTAAGTATTTCTGGATGTAGCTCAAAAGGTTTTCTTTTGTGCATAGTATATTACTAAAGTTTTGTAAGTTAATTATAGATCATATACTGTTTGTATTTGTAGATATGATGATATTCCATATAAGTATATGATTGGTTATATATATTTTGGAGAAATAGAAATATTACTATTAAGAGCAATAAGAATTCTCTTTACTTTAATGTGATATTGCTCCTTAAAACTATAAACTTATTCTGAAATATTCCACAACAGGTATTAGGTGCTGATTTAACTGTGAGTAGCAGCAACTCAGATATCAGAACTTCAGCACCTACGGCAAACGACAGCTCATCAAGATGTGAAGCTTCAACAACCCGTCAGCCTAATGGAGTCAATGTTGGCCTTGCAAAATATGAAACCCCCTCAGCTTCTCAGCCCAGAGTAACTGGCAGTGGAGGAATCAAGTTTGAAAGTCACTTATCACCTCATTCAACTGCACCCAGAGCCTCCACTTCATCAAATTCAGCTGCTAGGAATGACATTCACCACCAAGGTCCTCCTAGGAAAAGACAGAGAACTCCCATACCTACAAGTGATGCCCTGGAAAGAGTAGTGGAGTCTTTACAGAATATAAGGAGAGATTGTAGTGATGTGGCAGGTACCTTTGGTAACTTTGTGGCTGCTTCTCTTCGTAGGTTGCCAGAGGATAAGCAACATGATGTAATTTCATCAATAACAAGAGTGTTATCAGATTCTCACAAGAACTGAATCAGTGTCTTTGATTATCAGAGAATGAAGAAATCATTTATTCTAAGCTTTGGGATGTTGGACCAATGTAGGACTGATATTTCACTTAAATTTTCTAATTTCTTTCTCTTATTTTTTTCTTTTCTAAGACGTTTACAAATTTCCACTTATTTTGATAATGGTCTTAGGCTGGTAGAATAACCTTTTCTATTTGAAAGGTTACAGTAATGAATTGATTAGTTTATTGCACAGTTTTCAAGTCATTATTTATTTGTAAAACAAATAAACTTTTATTGTTACAATCCATAGATAATTTGATACAGTATATGATTATAATTATAATTTAACAGACAAATATATGTATGCCTTCAAGCTTCAAACTATTAGCATTGTTTTAATACTTATTGTATTAAAAGTACACGAAATTATGTTTTTTCTCAGCCTTTGTTGTTTTAAAATTTACCACCTTTGATGGTATTCTTTCAAGGTTATGTTAAAACTGCTCAGGGGACTATATCTATGAAATATGTATCCTCTTGATAATTACTTTAGATGTGCATGGTGAAGGGATTGGTAAGCTTTTCACAAGATTCATTTTTTCTTCTTTTTTAAGATGTTTGCAAATTTCCACTTGTTTTGATAATAGTCTGAAGTTGATATAATAACCCTCTTATTTGTGTGAAAGATTGTTCTTAGAAATTATTTGAATTATTGCACAGACAGTTTTCAAGTCATTATTTGTTTGTAGATCTCAAACTTTTATTGTTACAATTCATAGATGATTTGATATAGTATATATTAATAATAATTTAACAGACAAATATATTTACTGCTCTTTCAAGCTCTCATTAGCAATTATTTTAATACTGTTATATTAAATGTCAATATACCTTTACCATAAAGTTATGTTTTTCTGTCTTTTAAGACTTGTGTTATATAACTGCTTCATGGTAGCGCGTCTATATTGAAATTACGCTATCCTCTTTGCTACATTACTATTCAAGGGTATGTATGATTATAGTCTGGGCATCTCATCGCGCTAAGTAGTTCTTCTCTCTCACAGGCTTCTTGGCTTTCCTCTCTACTTTACTTCTGTTAAGATTCATATAATATATTTATATTCTAATCTCCTAACTTACTTTAATACTTTATATATTACATATATAACTATAATACTAATATATATATATTATCATATTATATCTAATTTATACCTACTTTCTCTCCTCCTAATTATGTTCTCCTCTATTTGCTGATGGATAGAATAGGATTGCATATGCTTAGCCTAAAATAGCTCGATTAATCTTGTTCCGTTATAGCTCTTGTTCGTATACTTCTGTATGTGATGACCTTATGTGTGTTATATATTTAATTTTTGTGATAAATGGTGTGACACTCTCTACATTTCAAGTTTGTTCAATATTCATACACTGACTCATTTTCTGTGCTTAAGTGAATTATACTTACAATATCAATTTATATAGTGGTAAAAATACCAAATCTTCTGCTTGAACCTCAAAATTGCGTCCCTATTTGACAATCACAGTGTAAAATATTCTCTCAGTTAATTGTGTTGCAGTGGTTGCGACAGTCACAGTTATAAGATAGTTTATAAACATTATATGACGCATAGTATATCACCCCATATATATATATGATTAACATAGATATATATATATATCATATATAAGAATATAAATATAAATTAATATATATACTTGCGCATTTGTATTATCTTATAAATATTACTACTATCATATTATATATATATCTTAAACCAGGTGCTATAGAAGAGTACACATAGTGTATAGGACATAAATGTGGGGAACACGCACACGAGGCACGCTCGTGATGGATGTAGGTATTATATATATAATATATATTATATATATATAAGTAGTTTACATATAATATCGATTAATGATATATATGATATAAGAGCTTATTGTATTATATTATATATAGGTGGTCACTAGTATTATGCAGAAAGATCTACGTTGTTTATAATTGTACACTGCCTCTTATCGCATATAAAGATATATAATTATAATTAATATCCTATACGGGAGTTGATATGTATTTCTATATATTATTCTATATATTCTTAAATATTTTATAATTGTTGATGTGTGTGTGTGTACCTCACTTTCACTCGATGATACTCATGCTTTATACTAGTATTAACGGCTTGAAACAATTCTCCAATTTCATTAATATATAATATTATAGGCGTTTTGATGTAATTATATATATAGTATATCTATATTCTTATTTAATCTCTCGAAATTATATAGTCGTATGGTTATACGTTAATATAAAGAATTATAGATAAAATATCGTGTATAGATATAGTAAACATATATTATATATTATAAATATTAATCTCAAAAAAAAATAAATAATATATATATTAATTTGTTTTCGGTGTTCACGGATGTGGTTAAATAAATCAATTACTCTTATACCCTGCATATATACTAATCTAGCTGGGATCATGTATATGTAGGCATAGTTGGGTCGTATTTATATATAAATTTCATATATTATACTATCATATATTATATATTTTTATTTATCTTATTCTAATACACACATCACGCTACACCACACACCACACACACTCTACATCCACACACAAACAGCTAACACGTACACCACACAATCTTTTCTTCTTTGATCTCCACACCACTAGTTATGATATATATATCTTAATTCTCATCTATCTGTATATTATATATAATCTATACATATATCTCTAATTACTAACCATATTATTATATATACTGTTCCTATTCTATATATATCTATTTCTGATTAATATCGATTTGCTGGTATATGTATATTATAATTCTATCAATAATACTAGGTCATATACTCTTATATATCATAATCGCATATATATATCTCAATAATACTCATATAATATATATATCTCACATCTAACCACTATATATACATCTATATACTATTAATAATTTACTATAATATGTAATATTCTCTATATATTATGTTATATTTATATATTTATATTTATTCATCTATCTATTTTATATATAATCTCTTACTCAGCTCATCCTATGTCTATATACTGTATTTTAATATATATATCTTTATTCTATATATTCACTATAATTATAAATATAATTTAACATATACTACATATAATATCATAGTAAGATCCTATTCATCTCAGTATCTCTATACTACCTCATATCTATATTATATTTTAATTATAGTGTATTACTGTACTATATTTACCTCATACTCCGGGTTTATAATATTACATACTTTATACTCGTATACTACTATATAATAGTATTATCGTATTTTATATCTATTGTATAATAATGTCGTGTACTAGAGTAGATATTTAATAGGTATTATATCATATTTTTATAGGTGGTATTATAAATAATATATATATAGTTCAGATATATTGATAATAATGAATAATGTATATATATGTGTCATAGTAATATAATAAACATTATAATATATAGTTCTTTTATTAAATCATATCTATATAGCTGAGGGTATAATAATAATATATTGAAAATATTATTTCTATATATATGTCTAGTAATTATTATATATAATATATTTTATATATTCTATATACACTCATAATATCTTTATAATATATATACATTATACTATACATTTATAATAGTATATTATATTATATATTATCATTTTATATATTTATGTACTATACTAGATTCAGATTGGATAAGACTGCTTTATATTTTATATATATCTATTATCTACCCTATATATATATATATATATATAATATGGTACTACTATATTTATACTATATAGTATATAATATTACCTATTTATATTAATATATATATATATATTAATGTAATATATATATTATTAATATATGTATGACACTATATCGTATATTATATATTATATATTATATAGAGTAGTCTGTTAGAAGAGCCCCTATTTAGTGATGTGAGTATATGATATTGTATATGATGTATTAGATATATATATTGATAATTAGTTGATTATATTATAATGTAATAGTATAGTATGTGTGTATATAGCGATATATAATGTATATATATATATATATAACAGTATAGTAATTAGGTATTTATATTCTATATATATATATATATTATCTATGTAATATATATATATATTATATATATATGTTTATATATAGTTATGTGGTTTGAGCTATTATATAGCTATATCAGCAGTGTAGTTAAGGTATAGTGTAGTTATATAGTTAGTAGGTTGTATAGTTATGTATAATAATAGTATTATAATGAGGCTATATTATTATAATGCATATATATTATAGATGGTATATATATAATATTAATATATTATTTGTATATAGTATATAAGTATTAGGGTATATATTTATTATTCTATGATATATATATTTTTATTTTATAATGATATATATATAGGGATATATAGTATGGTATTATTGGTATATAGTATATAATTGTAGTATATATAGGATGGGTTATAATTATATATATATATTTGATATATATATATGATATTATTATAATTTTATATTGTTAATTATAATATATATATAATATTTATATAGAGGTTATATGTTTATATTATTCGGTATTATTTATATATAGTATTTAGGTAATTATGGTCTATATATGTCATGTATAAAATCTATTTATAGTTAGGTAGTATATTATATACTAATAGTATATATGTGTGTAATATATAATGTATATATATATTATAAATAATATTATATATTATATGAGTTATATATAGGTGAATTTAATATTAATGGTGATTAGTTGTGGGTTGGGTATAACTGATATATTTATATTAGGTAGATGTAGTAGTAGGAGGTATATAGTAGATTATAATTATATATATATTATATAAGTATTATATATGTTATTTATTAGCATAATATATAAATATTAATAATATTTAAATATATATTATATATAATTATAATAATAGGATTTTATATATATATAATTATATAGATATCTATATATATATTTATTATAATTGTATATATATATTATATATAATACTATATTAATACTGTATGATATATATATCCATACAGTATTATATATTAATGATATATAGTATATACATATGATTATATATGTATATAGATAGATGATTAATAGATAGAGTGATAGATATGATAGATAAGGATGTTCATGCTATTTAATATATATATGTATAGTATATATTATATATATGTAATTATATATTATATATATAGTGGTATATAATATACATAATATATTATAATGATATATGTAGTGATATATATAGTAGATGTATGTATATATAGATCTGTAATATATTATATATATATATATATATTATAACTATAAGTATATACTTTATGTGTGTATACGTATATCTAGTATGAATAATATATAGAAAATTTATATTC